TTAAGGATTTTCTTGTGTTTTGTCTTTGGAAAAATCACTGGTTAACATCACTCAATGGTTTCTTGTGAAATCGTACAACGAAAAAAATAATCAGGAAAAGAGATTCGCTCATAAATGAATAAGTATTCTAAAAATGATTTTAACTTCAAGGAAAAGCAGTGACGTACACTATACAGTTGAAAATGTTTCTGTGCAAGTCAGGCAAGGGTATCACTGCCTAGAATGATATATTACGTTATATAGCAGAATACAGTTTGATTTGAAACTGGTGTGAAGGGTAGGTAATGGAGTAATGATGGATCATGTATTGAAATTGTGAAATTTTGAAAATATCAATGTTCCAACACCCGTTTCAGATTGCAACTTATTGCAGAAATAACAAATATTGTGTTTTAGTCAAATGCAAATTAGGACAACACTTTGTTCAGAAAAAAAGAACAAACGAAAAAAATCTTCTTATTGTTATCACTTCAAACCACAATACTGAAATCATCCATTTTGATTATTTTTTCAGAGACATTCATATATAAACTTTGTCAACCGCTTCGAACAAGTTAGATTTTTTTGAATAAATCCGTTATTACTTCACTTGTTGTTCAACCATTATTATCTAGTTTCCTATTCATGAAACTTTCAGAGAAAAATTGAGATAAAATTAGTGTCCATGATAATTCCAGTATATGCATGACGAATTGTTTTCTGTGACAAACAATTCAACTCTAGGTGGAGTTGTTTTGACAGAATAGACCATTGCAGTATACAATTTTGACTTTTCCACATCGATTCATGGTTATTTGTGAACCGTTTTATGAATGATTAATTATAATGAGTTGTTTGGTCTTCGCACTTTGAAATGCGATACATTTCTCTCAAGAATACGTAATACGTCTGTATTATTGATACCTACGTAGTAGGTATAAATAATACAGACAATTCTTGAATGATATCTCCTACATTCCTGTCAAAAGGCAGAATTCAGTTTCTGATCTTGTCATGTGAGTAACGCAATAAGAACTTGCTCTTTCACTGAACTATCTCCATACCAATAATTAAACATTAGCTTTAATTATTTTCAACTTATGCTAGCACCTTCTCTTAATTTGTTCGATGAATGACAAGAAAGAATAATAAAGAAACGCAAAAATTTTAGCTAATCATTTTACCATCAGAAACAAATATATTAGTACAGCTAAACACCAATTTTGTAGGATAAATTCAGTTGAATGTAAATCATCTTTCAGCTCTTTCCTGAAATTTGCAAGCGACAGTGACTTTAATGAATCAGGAAGTCGATTATACAGCCGAGATATATCTATTATATGAAAAGGAGCATCGAAATAATGAAGTTTTTATAGGATGGAATGGCTAAATGATGTTTGAATCTCAAGAGATCTCAATGAGAAAACTTGGTACTTTCGTGGGGATTATATTATGAAACAAAACGCAAGAGTGGAATATTATACGGGTCTCCATATTCAGCCATCACTTAACCAGGTTTCTGAGATAGTGATAATATCTTGTGAAATCGTACAACGAAAAAAATAATCAGGAAAAGAGATTCGCTCATAAATGAATAAGTATTATAAAAATGATTTTAACTTCAAGGAAAAGCAGTGACGTACACTATACAGGATACTACTACACGTACGTACACTAACATAAATGTTAAATACCTTTCGTTTGAATTCAAGATAAGCTGAAAAATAATAATTATATCAAGCAAAAAAAAAGCTGAAATTACAATGAAATGAAATACTAGCAATAATCAATAAATTAACAATTGAACTATTAACACGAGATGAAAATTAAAAATGATTAACAAGAAATGAAAATTAAAAAAATGAAAATGAAGAATTAAAAGACCAAGTTACTTCACAACGTTTCGAATGTTACTATCCACAATCATCTTCGGGTGATATCTGGACTGAGAGCTGACTATTTATAGGTTATTCGAGTGCTTTCACCGCTCTTCCCTCTCTCCACTTCACCGGTTTGGCGGGAGATGGTCGCTTGGCGGAAGTTGACTGTTTTTCGCTTCATTGTAGGTTTCTATATGTTGCGTATCTCTACGCTTGCTTGGCTAAATGCGTTGTTGGACAACATATATACCCAACATATGGAAACCTACAATAAAGCGGAACACGACCAACTCCCGCCAAACGGTCAGCTCCCGCTAAAACCGATAAAGCGGAGAGAGGGAACAGGGGATAGGTGAAAGCACTCGAATGACCTATAAAGAGTCAGATCTCGGAGGAAGTCCAGTTATCAACCGAAGACGATTGTGGATACTAACAATCGAAACGTCGTGAAATAACTTGGCTTGGAATCTTTAAATTTTTGATTTTCAATTCTTGTTAATAATTTTTAATTTTCATCTCGTTTAAATAGTTCAATTTTTAATTTGTTGATTGTTGCTTGTATTGTATGTCATTGTAATTTCAGCTTTAGTTTTTGCTTAATATAATTGTTATGTTTCAGCTAATCTTTTTAATTAATCAAACCGTTTATGGAATTGGATGAAGAAATATCATTGACGCAATCCTTTTGTATGGTACATTAACTAAGATGTCAAAAAGATACACAGAAGTGTATGAGCTATAATAATTGAGTTCATAACTAACCAGGATTTCATATGATACATCTATATATTCGAACTTCGATTTCATATTAATCCTTACCGGACCCGTGGTATCATGGTGGAACCACAAATTAAACTTGATAACATTCTTAATCATGGCGGTAATTGTTTTGAGAGGATTTTTTATATGGTACCACTGGACCACATACTATTTAACAATTTCAGAAAAACAGAGTTAGACGATCGTGAAGTTGGAAAAATGTCCCAAACATACCTCTATACACTTGTAGATGAGATTCCATCGGATAACAAATCCGTCCACACTGAATAGTGAAAGAGAATTACAGTTATTAGACCAAGTGATTCCAAATCAGCGAGACGGGAAAATTCCAAAATATCTGAGAGGTTGACTGAAGGTTGACTAAAGGTTTCAGCCACGGACCAAAAAGATATAAAATCGTTGGGACTGACAAGAAATTTGGGAGCATTAACAACCGATTGACCCAAAATTCTAGGTAGGTATACGTTTGGTTTTTCAGGATATAATTCATCATACCTTTGTTGTGCTCTGAACGAATTCCTATCTAGTTTAATGAACAGTTCGTACATACAATGTCTTTCTTCATTTTTGTATCTCACCATATCGAATAAGTCAAATTGGAATTAGACAGAAAAGTATTCAACGGCAAGACATTTGTGTGGCACAATAGTGAAAGAAGTGACAAATAATATAACATTTCTTGTTATGTTCTTTTTTATCCACGAATTACTACTAGAAAATAATACATTCAATAAACCTAGAGTTGTGTGTATGTACGAAAAGACAAGTTAATCAACGATATCAATGTTCTGACCCAAATTTAGCTGAATCCAGAAAATAGATCAAGAACTGTGACCATTGAATGCAATTTATCGAAAACTGCTGTTAATAAAATAATCAACAGACGCGAATACAATGATTTTAAATTTCAATATTTAGTCTTGCAAAAACTATATCGTAATTATCTTGGGAAAAAAATCCATTCTGTAATTTGTTTCAACGGAATAAATGACAAATCCAACAATAGTGATTCCTCGCGAGAAGATTGAGACTGGCCGTGAAAGTTATTCAAGGAGACAAAATTAGCAAATGTATAAAAATTTGAGGTACAGAACCGCAAAGTGCATTTTACAATATGTTGGATATTTCGAACACTTACTCGAACTAATTTTCATTAACTTTCGAATATGAATTAGGTTTTTCTCCTCTTGAAATATTTTAATCATTATCATTTGTCTTTTGTTTTGATTCTGATACGTTCTATTCAGATAAAGATGAGTGAGTTGATTTTCTCATTGAAATGTATTGCATGTTTTCAATTAAACTGAAGGTAACTTTAATACAGATCCGAAATAAAGAAATTTGGATAAGGGTCAAAATCACCTGAAAACCGACTTTAAATGACATTGTATGATATACCGTTGAACTCAGCGTGAAAACTTATTTACAAAAGTGACATAAAAAATGCAGATCCATATTGAAAAACTGAGGTTGAGGGTGACACAGAGAGTACGAAACGTTGGATTCGAAATCCGATTACGTCAAATCAAGGAGAATTGACTATCGAATAAAAAATGTCCGTAACATTTTTTAATAGTTTATGAATGAACGTGGGAAAAAAATCAAAATGACAGAATTCACTTTTCTTATGATATCAAAGTAACCGATTGTTTGATTTGTTTGAACCTTCTTCTATGAATGCAACTTTTTCTCTATTTGACTGACCTTCTGACTCGGTTCAGAAGTTACCAATATAATCGGGTTGAACCGCGTCTAGAGTTTTTGGGTTTTCGATGTTTCGGCTTCGAATTTGAATCCATTTTCAAAAAAGTATTACTACACTGAGGTCGCAATCTGCCTACTCCCCACCCAGAGACGGACCTGTATAAAGTTCTCCATATTAATTTCTAGATTGTGTTGGGTAGAAATCTCATGAAAAGTCGATAAAAACTTTTAATAGTTACTCTGGCATTCCAGGCAGAGAATGATCTAAACATTTTGCAAATCTGCATATTAGAAGATGTAAATAACAATGTGAGGAAATTGCTGATTTTACTTATATTACGACATAATAATTATTCATGCTTGCACAATTACAAATGTAATATCATCAATTGTTTTCTCGCGCACTCGGAAAACTGTCATAATCTAAATATCCAAACGTTGTCAATTCGTTTATTATGTAATTGTTTTCCTAATTTTCCAATCGTTCAATAGTTTTCCTGCAGAGACAAATTCATAAATGGAGTAACCAATTCGATTTTGTGACTTTATATATTACATTGATAATAACGATATTAAGTATTAGAATTAAACATATACGTTATTTAGTAATTAGCTTAGTACGCTAAACTTGTTTTCAAACATATTTTTTACCTTTATTTTATTTTATTTTGTTAAATAGTAATGACACAGTCCCCAGATCCATCACCATGGTGTTAATAGGTGGTAATTGGTAATTCAGGCCTCTACTGCAGAGCAAGCAAGATATCGAAAGAATCATTGGTGGGACACCCTGTATAGAGAGGCTGTAGTCAGCAGGCCAGCAAGTCCAAGTCGCGGACCGACCCCACCCCCCCCTCCACCAGCTTACCAGCCGAGAGTTGAGTTTACAGCGGCCACCACACGGATTAACGTTTAGTAGACGAAGTCTACCTGCTCTTATGACGTTTGTGACCGTGGTAAGTAATGTCTGACAGTGATCGGCGAGATCTCATTCTTCGCAGAGAGTGTCAAGTGTGATGGGTTCGGCCAGTGCGACGACCACGACGAAGATGCCATCGGTCAACCGGTCCCCCTGCCGAACCGTGTGGGTGAATACGAACAATCGCTTGTGCCAAGATGACAAACGGCGACGGGTGCGAGTAAGATGAGTGCCGACCGACGGAGAGGGTCTCACTCCAATCTTCGACATGTCCAGGTGGCACGAAGAGTGCCTAGGCAACTGCGAGGACTGCTTGACAGCGGCCACTTGCAAGCACCGAAAACACTCGCACGACGATTCCTACAGAAGGTGGGTGAGCTTAGAATATAGCGTGTAGCGGGAAGTTATCCGAATAGTACAGTGAAATTTAACGAAAACATAACCAAACTAGGAAACTAAAAAATAAGTTTCAGTGTTGCCATTCAGGGTTGATTCTATATAAAATAATAATTTTTCCTAATAAAACTTGAATGTCAAAACTTCTATTACTAATAACATGCTCAAGTGAATTATAACACATTTAATAAAAGTTTATCGTTGTCTGTACATGAAATACTCGCAAAAAAGTGTTAGTGGGAGTCTTCATCAATGCAATAGACTCCGTAAACAATTATTTTTATAATTTTTGTCTGTTTATCTGTGCGACTCAATCGACTCAATCGATTCAGTTGCAGTTTTCACTTACGTATTGTGGTAAGCTCCACATTTATTTCAGCCAGTTGATAAATAAAATTTTTTGGAAAAAATCTCGAAAATAATAGTATGAAAATACTGTTCAGCTGATTTCGCTGAAATTGTAAATAACTACATTTATAGTTTGTAGAACGACTTTTTCATAAATCAAAGATAGGTAGATAAGTACATGAAAAATGTTGCTGTTAGAAAACGTAGTTAAGTAGCAGGCAACAAGTAAGAAGGTAGTATGACAAATAATTGTCGTAACTAATTCGAAGATAAAAAAACCTTGAAATACATTATAACCTGCTGTAACATTATTTTACAATATGTGACACTGCATTATGCATATTTATGTCCTTCTACAATTTTTTTAAGGTCATGAAGCAAGAATTCATTTGTAGTCGAAAAAATCGATCGTAAGAAAAATAAATAATTTATTTCACCAAGCAACGCACCCTATATTCCTGTTGATTTTTTTTCGCGAAAAGCAATTCAATAACTACCTGTCGTATCTCGTTCAACAATTGTGTTTAGAACAATTTTTCTTCTTATATTTATTCCAAAAACGAATGAAGCATTTTTATTGGGGCGTTGCCACTTTGTGCAACGCCCCAAGTAGACAAAGTATTACCCGAAATATGCAATAATTTACAGAAAAATACGTTTTGCATCTTTTTTTGATATCGTGTGGGTTGCGAGAAATATTGACAACATATTTTTCCATATTTGAGTTTTATCAAGATTGTGCTAACTTGATGTCGAGTTAGAAGAGCCCCTAATGAAAACAATGAAGGATGACAGACTCATTTACTATTGTCGAAATATAGAAGACTTTTTTTTTATGATCAATAGAGATACAGTACGAATCATTTTGGGCTGTTTTTTACGATAGAGTTCATGATATTTCTTCACTTGAACACTTCATAGAGGTGTAAAACAATGTGTTACCTCAGGGCTAGTACTAGAGTGCCACCAAGATTTAGCCAAAGCCTCGGTAGATAATAACATTATTCTGAGGTGGAAAAAAGGGCACGACAGGAGTAAAGGTAATCGCATTGCCGACTCTTTAGCCAAGGAAGCGGCTGGACTAAGAATTTTAGGACCCAGTGGTACCTACGGCCTGATGACTTCGACAATTGCGGAACTAGCCAAACGTCACACCTATGCTCAATCCCTAAAGAGATGGGATGAAATCAAAGGATGCAATCTTGCCAGGATCACCCTGGGCGACCTTGGAAAGCTGACGCCGAAGAAATATCTGGCGATGACAAGGAAAAATCTACGCTTAACAGTAGGATTTCTGACTGTTCACTGTCAACTAATGAAACAACCTTCATAATATGGGGCTAGTGGACACACCTCTATGCAGGATGTGTGAACAGGAAGATGAAACTGTCAGGCATGTCCTATGCGAATGTCCTAAGTTATCGTCAATAAGACAGTGTGTATTCGGCGAGTCTTGGCCTACACCTGCCGATATAAAGGAGATGTCTCCTAGTGACCTGTCCACCTCCCTGGAAAGGACAGGATAGACGATGACATAGGAGGATAACTCCTCGGGAGGATATACAATGGGTCACATGTGGCCTAAGTACTGTGGGTCTACACTCACCCTCCCTACTCTACAGATACAGAACTGAAAAAAATATCTTGTGTTATTTGGTAATGATAAATCACAAAAGTGCTCGAAAAAGATGAGGTAAATACCTAATAAAGCCAATTATTTGAATTACTAGTGAATTATTATAATTCACTGATTGTATTCGTAATCTGGAGGTGCATATTGACTGTGATCTGAATTTTTTTCAACATGTAATCAAGCATAGAATAAATTGAAAATAATTTTGAATACATTGACTTGTTACTTGGTGAAAGTCAATAACACTATGTCTGATAATGATTACAAATTTCCACAATAAAGACTTTTTTCCAATACGCGTTTCACTAGTAGTTGGACCAGTCCAACTGAGTATGCTACTTATGTAGTGAATCGCGTAGTGAAAATAAAGTCTATATTGTGAACATTTCTTACTATTATCTGAATAGTGAAAATTATTTATGGCAATACGAATATGGCAATAAGTAAGAGTCTGACAGTCTGGTTATATAAAAGGGTATAGTGAGACCCATGATAACATACGGTGTATTGACTTGGTGGACAAGAACAAAGCAATCGGATACGACTAGGCTATTAGGCGGCATACAAAGGCTGGCATGTCTAAGTGTCGCGGAAGCCATGAGAACGACCCCAACTGCAGCACTTGAGGTCCTACTCGGACTTCCACCATTGTACATCTACATACAAAGAGAAGCTTGACTGGTGGCACACATGCTAATGCAGGGACAAACCCCAATCAGCCAGTCACACGGTGCAGAATACTTGAAACTGAAGGCAGATCCACTACCAGGAATGCCCGTGGATAACACAGTTCCGCAGTACAACTTTCAAAAAGATTTCAAAATCATCATATTAAGTTGAGAGGACTGACAAAACGGCCCACCGGTAAAAGCGGAAGAAACTTAGTATACAGATGGCTCAAAGACCCAAGAAGAAATGGGAGCCGGTATATACAGAGCAATGACGAGAATCGCACTCAGCCTCGGACATAATGCAACTGTGTTCCAGGTAGAAATAGCGGACATCGAACACATAATTGGGGAAATAAACAGGCAGAAGATTACAAATAAAACCATTGCCATTTTCTACGACAGCCAGGCGGCAATTAAGGCGCTCAGCTCATTTCAAGTCTTCTCAAGACTGGTAGGAAGCTATCTAAGCGCACTCAAGGAGCTAAGTACCCAAAATAGGGTCACTCTAGCCTGGGTACCCGGACATAAGGGTCACAGGGGCAATGAGGAGGCCGATCTTCTAGCCCGTGAAGCATATATAAAGACATCCATAAATTCATGGATGCAAACCGAATCAATAGATTGGTGGAATAAGCTACCAGGAATGAGACAGGCGAAAGAGTTGATAAAGAAACCATCGCTCAGATTCACGAAAGATCTGCTAAACCACAACCGTAAGTTTCTAAGAGTAGTGCTGGGTCTACTAACGGGGCATAGCCGACTCAGAACACATATGAGCAACATGGGTCTGACAGAAGCAACCCAATGCAGGTTCTGTCAAGAAGAGGAAACCGCACTGTGAATGCGAAGCGCTGACAAGGCTGAGACACGCAAGATGCGGGGAAGAAAAACCAGAGGATGCCAGCTATATAAAGGGGCCAGTGTCAAGGTTATGGAGTCTCATCAATGAGATCAAACTAGACAATGAGCTGTAAGAACCAAGAAGCATCACAATAGATCTGAAAAGGTTGCAGTGAATCAGGGCATGGGCTAGCTCGCCGATAATCTAATCTAATATACTGCATAATTCACAAGTTTTAACTGTTTTTAATTTTGCAAACGTAGTATATTTCTCTTTTTAAACTAAGATATCTAGGATACAATAAGTGCAAAATGCATGTACCCGAATAATTTCCAAGCTGTGAAAACGAGAGTTCAGATCTATAGGGTTTTTTATTAAGCGCTTCCTTTCTTCAAATTGAAATAAAAAAACAAAGTGTGTGAGATATCACCGAAATTTTATATTCGTTCAAAAGACCTATTGATGTCATTATGTGTGGAATATAACATCGTTCAAATGTACGCCTCAGCTTCTCTGGGTAGAGCGCATCCGAAACGCCCAATTTTCCATGACTCTGGCGCATAAATCAGGTTGAATTTGACCAATGGCATGGGTTATGTTGGCTTTGAGCACCGCTGTGGTTTGTGGCTTATTCGCCTTATTCGCCTTATACGCCTGCGACTTGAGAGAAAACCCCACAAGAAAAAGTCTAACGGGTTCAAATCGTACGATCTCGGTGGCTAGTTCACATCACCTTCACGTGAGATGACTATGCCCTCGAATCGCTTGTGCAGAATATCCAATGTGACATGAGCTGTGTGGCACGTAGCGTCGTCCTATTGAAACCACATGTCGTTGGTGTCCAGATCATCTATTTCAGGCCAAAAGAAGATGTTTTCGGCATATCTTGCGTTTCGTCGATCGTCGATCGATCGTCGTCGATCGTTTACTGAACCAGTGAACTCAAATTTATCCACCACATCGTGAATAGTAAAAACTAATTAAAAATTGTAACATCGTGAAAGAAAATTTTAACAAACTAATTAAATGGGCATGTAAAAACTAACACCAATTTCTACATTAGAAAACAGTTCAGAAGAGTTGAAGAATCCTATTTGATCATTTAGTGAATTTTCAGAATTTTCAAATCTAATGATTCCTAAGTATTCCAAAATATTGATTTCCAAACTTTTCTCTTCATAGTCGTAGTTGAACTCATGCCCTTCTGTCAAAAGATGGTGTGCAAATGTGGAATTCGTCACCACATTCAGGAAACTGTTCCTACGTTCTTCTATTCTCTGGAGAAAGTTCCTACCCGTTTGACCAATATAAAATTTTGGATGGGAACTCCTGATCTATCCGACACTGAAGTTTTTTCTTTATTGTCTTCAATAAATTTGCTCAAATTATCTTTTGTACGGTAAGCCACGTCCAAGTCTGTCTTTTTCAAAACGAGCGATGTTATTGGTGAGTTTACCAAAGTATGTCAATGCCCTATGACGCTTATTGTTGTTTCTTGAAGTTAGAATAACTGGTAAATTGTTTGTTTTCGCAGGTTTTTAGAAAGAATGGATTCGATAATATCTACCTATCTTGTAACCGTTGTTGACGGCAAAAATTCAGTTATTTCTGAAAATTACTTTCTGAAAGTGGAATATTCAATAGTCTGTAAAGCATACTATTGAAGCCTGCTACTTTATGTTGATGGGGACGTCTCGAGGAGTTATGTATGCCAATGTTCGTACAACATGGTTCGTGAAAAACTGCAAAATCGTTTTCATTAATAATTTTAGTAATAGTCACGCCTAAAAAAATTATTTTCATATACTTGAGAAAGCTATTGTAGAGTGAAACACGTGTTTTGTAAATTGTCCAGTGAACATTTCACAATTAAGTGTTTTTTGAAATACTCTATTCTTAAAAATAAAATTCGTTCTTTGTTTGATTGGCAAGATATATTTTGGCTTGCTGGTTTCTCGAGAAATACAATTGGCTATGCTCCTACTCTTTGATACTGATACCAAGTGTTTTGTATTGTATTGGGACGAACATATGTGGTAAATCATCAATAAAAATTATGAAAAAATGGACACAATGGAATACAAGTGAAAACCATAAACTAAATTATTAATAAATAATAAGTTGATGTGGGTCCTGCATTGCGGTGGAGAAAAAGTGTTCCTAGGAACAGATTGAACGTATTCATGCTAGAAGTTCATGTGCCATTGAACGTCAAAGTATTGCTATATTATGCTCTAGATATGGCCGATGGACTACCACTTGCAAAGCAGTATTATTGCTGTTTCGAAAGATTTAACTCTAAAGTTGAAATGCTTCGAATACGATTAAACTTGGCCTTCTTCAAATAAAGTTATAAAGTATATTGACATTGAAAAATGGCCTGGTAGTTTTTGATTCCAGTTCATGTTGTGATTCGTTATTATACCTTGGCTTTGAACGCTTCCGATTGGTTCATATTTATTGATGCCGTTTCATGAAAAGAGATACAGAATAATCTTATCAGGACAACTCTCAAAGTCAAAGAGTTTATTCCCAGGGTTTTCCCTGTAATGCGAAAAGCGAATGCGCAGTCTGAAGAATGACAATCTGAATAATTCACGTTTCACTTCTCTATTTTGATGTTATTTTACAAATATGCAATAATTTTGTCAAATTTTTCTATGAACTTTTCTGTAAATTTGAAGTTTATAATTTTTGTATTCATATGACGATTTTCAGATTTATATTAGAAAAAGTGAAAATTTTAAGTTACCTTTCCTGGAAACAAGAATGAAAACATTCTTTGAGTCATAGCAAAGTCGAATATCTCAATTCGTTTGATGGTTCTCCTTCAGTGTCTATATGAATAACGCAACAGATTGCCCTCTTCTGTGAAACAGTTGAATAGAATTAATTCTAAGAAGCATTCGAAAAGTTCAATTTTCAATCATGGTTTTCATGTGAACTAATCTAGAATAATTTGATTCTATACTGCCTTTGACAAAGAGAAACAATCGATCGCGACAATTTTGTAAAAAATAATAATAAATTTGACCTTTTTCTATCAATTGGGTACATTATTATTATATATTTATTATATCATTGAAATTCCAATTTTGTTCACATTCAAATAATCTTCACGATTCATTAATGTTGTTTTGATTTAATTTTCAAATTTTCTGATAGAAAACACAAGCATCTTTCTTTCAAATTTCAGGAAATCATTTACCAAGTAAAAAGTCGGTTTTCGATATTTTTACTAGACTTTTCACCACATTGTAAGAAAAGGCAGGTGATCAACTTGCGACTGTTAAATATTTTTTTGAAAGATTTTCCAGTTTGATACCTATTTTACCGTACTAATTGACCGTCTTTGTTCTGTTGCAGATTCATGACTGTAGGCCCGGTGCGGTACGGCATGCGTGTGGGGGCGGTCTCGCCGCCGCCGCCGGGAGCCGGGCCACGATATCGTTCCCAAAGCTGCTGGCCTACGACTCCCTGCGGCGACAGTGGCTGTGACAACGTTCCCGTCTCCCGGATTCCGCTTCTCACAACACAACCTATTAATAGCTTGGATATAATTAGTTGCGTAAATAGAATGAGGATAAACGACGACGCTACATCAAATAAACTGCTGGCTCAGCAGGCGTCAGCGACAGTGCGCGACCATGTACTTTACACTGGGAAGTGCTCCGCGTTAAAAACTCAGTTGAAACGGTGTGCTCTAGTGCGACCTCAGGTATACACGAGGCTCACAGCATACGGAGAAGCCAACGGAAACAAGGACGAAAACACACTGGACCGCCTTCCTAGATTCCGCTTCGGCGGAAATCGCGCTGCCGCCGCCGACAAGAGAGGAAACGACCAAAGATACAGGGAACTGACGGATAGGCTGAAGAGAGGAGCGGTTCCGGTGCCGCCGCCCAGGACAAGACACGCGTCAAAGGCTACCCCACCCCAGTCTCCGGCCCCGGTGCCAGCCACGGTGGACAGTTCTGAGAGGTTGTTACCTCTTCGAAGTGCCTCTTTTTCTCAAGTTGACTACTGCCCGGACAATAAAAAATATGTGAGGAGGAGGCTGTCTACCAGCCAAGAACAGGAAAACGATCAATCTACTAACAAGGAAGTATCAACTCTTCCGAGACCAAAAAATTCATCCCGACCTTCTACCCCTAAGTTAGATGTGTTACCCAAGAAACCCAAGTCGGATTTGACACTCGTGATCGAAAATTCACTCGACGACGTGACTTCTTTCGAGACGGTTAACGAAATACAAGAGGCTAAACCAAGAGATATTCCGGAGGTTGAGATTACTCCTGGCTCTCCCGAAAAGCCAACAACCAGGTGTCAAGACGCCGTCAGTACCAGCCAAGATAAACGAAAGGACAAATCGCGAAGACGTAAAGGTATTTACATATCTCAATGGCCCAATACCTACAATTCCACCGAAGATGTCATTCCACAGTTCGTCCAAGACGGGGATTTTCCCTGCGCAGATAAAACCACCCAGCTTCTCCAGGATTCTTTAGTGGAAATATCTAAACTTCAAGCCCATGAGGACAAGTTCAAAGACTTTCCCATCTGGAGCAGTCCGCAGGAAGAGCCCCTCAGTCCGGAAGATAACAGCTCACAACCGGAGTGGCCTACAATCGGGAGACCCAGACTCCTGTCTCAATCTCCAGATGACAAAGAATCGTTAAAGGTAACACCACGTAACGTTAGTTTGTTCAGATCGGATTCCCTCTCAGAAGGAGAGCCTGATCTCGGGGAACGTAGGTCTGATCAGACCTCTCTAGTGCCTTCTGACGTATCAGACACCGAAAGTCGGGTCAGTTTTTCAATAGAACCCACCAGCCCCAGCGTTCCTCGAAGGTATTCCAAAAGGCCGTTAAGGGGACCTTATGGGCAAATGTTAGAGGCCGAAATGAAGAAGCCCGAATGTCGGATGAATCTCAACAGTGATTTGAAGTTTCTTGAAGATTTATCTTCTATGGCTAGTGCTTCTATGAACAGTTTACCCAAACCGAAACATACTCGAACGCGAGGCAATTGTAACAGTTCTTTGGACGAAACTAATCTCGGGAAGGACAAAAGAGACCCCCTTTTGAACTCTCCGAAGCAAAATAAACGGAAAGTTAGTGCCGATAACCTAACCGTCAACAATGACAGTGACAGAAAAATTTTAGTAAGCCATCAACGCACCACTTCTAGCCCCTCCAAATTAGAAGGATTCACTAATACGGAAGTCGGCAATGCAAGTGAATTACTCGAACTATTATTGCGGGGAAGTTCCGAACAACTAGCTACGTCAGAGGCGAATCAACAGTTGCTTAATGTAAGTAGTTTGTCCTTTAACGACATTATATTGTATGGAAATAGTTTGATTGCCGATATAATGTGCGTCTACCTCCCCATCCTTCCCCGAGTGTTGACTCTGTTGTTTCAAATGAAATAGAGAAATTTTTATGCGTCATTCACACCATACAGAAATCTAAAGAGGTTACAGGTCTTCAAAGTGGAATTTATTGTTGTTGATTGTATTTGTCAGGAAATTATTATTTTTTTCCAGTCTCGTTGAACTTTTTCGAAAAAATGTCCAATTCACTATTTGCTGATAACTGGTATTCAAGTTCCGGCTGAAATTTGTGATTTATAGAATATTCTGAAGTATATCCTCAGAGGAACATATCTATTAACACGGCAAAACTTCCGGCAAAGCTGAAACACGTGTCTTGACACAGATACAAGTAGTTTCTTCAGGCGTGACTAATATACGCACAACTCGACGCACAATTTCGAGTATCAAAGACGTCTGAAGGAATATTTTACTTATAGTAAAACATGTGTTGCAGTTTTGAGAACTGTTTTGTGAAAAATCATTATCGAATGAGTTTATCGTACATGTTCAACTATCTACAAATTTCATCACATTTTTTAATCAGTTTTATTATGGATTTCAATCAAGTATCGGCTAGTTCTATTCAATTATAAATTTAGCTCACAGAATTTACTCATTGAATATCATTCGGTACTATTCGAATATATAGGTTAAGTTAGGTCCAAAGTGAGTCGGTCTATTCGATCTTCCACCGCAACCCGCAAGGTTTTATTGTAGGTCACACCTATTCACATTCGACCAAATAAACCCAGCTTCTTAACTAAGCCGTTTAGTTTGTATGGTGAGTGGTCTTTCAGATCTGTTGGTAAGAGTAAGGCTCTGCCGAACCTAAAAACCTGATTTGGTCCCTAGCGGGGCAGGCACAAAGTATGTGCTCTACTGTTTTATCATTTTCCAAACAGAGGCCACACACATTGTCTTCCGACAGTCCGAGTCTTTGCATATGATGATTCAAATGACAGTGACCTGTAAGTAGGCCTGTTAGACATCTTAGTTCATCCCTACTGTAGTCCAACAACTGTTTGATATCAAGCTTGGAAGGGTGAATAAATGAAAATGAATAAATTCTGTCTAAACATGAATGATTTGAGTTTTTTTAATCGGTAAAGTAAATAATGAAAATTGTTTCTATTGGAGTGATAAAATCCATAAATTATTTTAGAAAAGACTATATAACAGCTACAAAAAGTTTGTTCTCAATAATATTTTAGTGTGAAAGTTCATCTTGGTAGATCTGGCCCACAGCACTTAGGCCACATGTGACCAATTGTACATCCTCCCGAAGAGTTGTCCTCCTAGGTCATTGTCCATCCTGTCCTTTCCATGAAGGTGGACAAGCCACAGGGAGACATCCCATTTATATCGGCCAGGTGTAGGCCAAGACTCGCCGAACACACACTCTCTTATTGACGATAACTCCGGACATTCGCATGCCTGATCTTCCTGCATAGACGTGTGTCCACTAGCCCCATATTGTGGAGGTGTTTCCTTAGTTGACAGTGGCCAGTCAGAAATCCTACTGTTAAGCGCAGATTTTCCTGGTCATCGCCAGATATTTCTTCGGCGCCAGCTTCCCAAGGTTGCTCAGGGTAATCCTGGCAAAATTACATCCTTTGATTTCATCCCATCTCTTTAGGGATCGAGCATGGGTGAAACGATTGGCTAGTTCCGTAATTGTCGAAGTCATTAGGCCGTAGGTGCCACTGGGTTCTGAAATTCTTAGTCCATCCGCTTCCTTAGCTAAAGAGTCGGCAATACGATTACCTTTACTCCTGTCTTACCCTTTAATAAACCTCAGGATAATGTTATTATCTACCGAGGCTTTGGCTAAATCTTGGTGGCACTCTAGTACTAGCCCTGAGGTAAGACGTTGTCTGTTCAAGGCTAATAGGGCTTGCTATCAGTGCAGATTGTTATGTTTTTGCCAGAAATTCCTTTCCTGGTTATTTCTTTTGTGGCGATTGAGATACCAGCCAGTTCTGTTTGGACCATGCTGGTATTTTTTCCCATTTCCCACTTAATCCTTAGGCTTAGTGATTTGGAGTACACTCCATATCCTGAGCCTTCATCTTGGTAGATATAAATGCAATTTTCAAAAATGACTGTAGTTCATATCGTAATAATGTCAATTTGTTCGGCGAAACGTGTGCCGGCAAAAGCATGTTTGTTAGATTAGAATCATCAAAATTAAACTGAATAACTTTGTCGAACCCATTTCCCGAGTTTATTGGCCGTAGTCTGCAGGTTTTTATGCGTAACGTTTTGTCTACTACTACGGTAGCCATTATCAAAGACGTTGAGGTGATGGACGAACTATGATCTCAAAAGCAGATGCTGTTGATGCTGGTGATTGATGTGAGTTACCTGATGCGAGAGCAATTAAGAGCAGGTAGCCATATTTTATTGATGTTATTTCTCTCTTCCATTCGAATAAAATTGTTCCATTGTGTGTTTTCTTTGGCTTGTATATCAAGAAATCTCCTAATCATGTCGTAACATTCTTCAAATAGGGCAGGAAATCTTTTCCATTGACAAGTCGATTTGGAGTTGCCTTGGCACTCTCTCTTCTGAGTCGGATTGAAAAGTTTTGAAGAGGGGATAATTAAATCAATGATCAGGAAATGATTTCTTGCCCTATGTAAGGAATATTACACAACCAGATCAGGTGAGGTCTGAACAGACCAACGTGAAATTGATATTCAGATCAAAGAAAACCACCAGAGAAAGGCTTAGGTCAGCTAGGAATTTCAGAGGGCCTTTAGTTACACCGGATGTGTACCGGATCCATTGTAGCTGTGAATAAATCTTCATTAAAATCACGAAGAGACATACCTACTGACAAAACAGGAGTAATGGAACATGAACTTGGCAAAGGTACCCACCTTATCGCGTTTGAAGAGACTCAAGTGCCCGATAGGACTGAGAACTGTCTACTAGGAAGGCGATAAAAATTCAGAAACACAAAAACAATTTCAACTGAAAGGAAAAAAGAAGAAACAACATGAATAAAATCTGGCTACCTGTACTCAATTGCTCTCGTATCAAGTCATTCAATTCATCCAATAGAAGCAAAGTCACGTCTATGGAACAAAAACGGAGACTCAAATATAGTATCTGCTGTAGGAACAATCAGATCACTTCATCCGTTGCCTCATCGCCCTTGAAAATGTGTTCCGCAATCCAAAGACGAAACGTCAGGCTTGGTAGGTAGAATTTGAACGCGTAAAATGAATCTGATGAAAACACTTTTCCCACACCAGAACAAATAAACTGCCTTTCAACTCGCGTTTCACTAACCAAATTAGCATTATCAGGAAATGATGCGTTTCGCTAACAAAGTTAGCACAATCTTCTGATTATGGCGCGTGAAGAGACAGTATTTTTGTTCTGGTGTGCGAAAAGTGTTTTCATTAGATTTTGACACAGTGAAAGTTCACAACATAGATAAACTACAAAATCTCACGGGTGTGAAGTTATCCACATACACAAAGTACACTGAGAAAAATATATCGAATTATTATTTTTTCATTTACTCTGTACAATACCATTTTTCAATGTGATACGCTTATTGACTGATTTAGTGAAAAAAAAGAACCGTCTTAATTAATTGAACTGTGTGAAGGGGTGAAAATAGGGTAGAAATATTTAAAAAATTCGTAACATGAAAACTTGACTTTGTAAACCTACAAAATTGAGACATGTTATTCCTGATGATCTATTCGACAGAAAAAACTTCACATCATAGTTTTCCAGGTCGTCTGAGGGGGTGAAATGGGGTGGAAACTTGAAANTCCTTTTTTTTTGTATCAGATGGAGTAGTAGAAAGCCAAAAACTTTCTTTCCCAAAAAATATATTAAACATATTGATAACTCAATCTACCGGGACACTAAAATTATTTCTTATTTTGTTTTTCCATTTTCATTACATATAATTTTTTATAGCTTCATACCTTCCACAACAAATCGATTTGTGTGACGTAGGCCTGTTTAATTCAAAAATACCATAGTGGTAACGCTGAGAGTCCCTGATTCTTAGCAAGATCACACAATTTCTTTTAGTATGTTAAATCAGTCGGAGTGAACATATTTCACCGAAGTACGAATAAGACATCGCTTGAAATATTGCCATTAGTAACTAGGATTACTTAGGTAAGTAAGTACTGCTTTTGAAAAAGTATTCACTGAAATATATTGTTTCTAATATTTGACGTAAAGTTTTCTCTGTCAGGAATAACATATCTCAATTTTGTAGGTGTACAAAGTCGATTTTTCATGTTACGAAATTTTTCTAATATTTTCACCCCATTTTCACCCCCTCAAACGGCCTGGAAAAATATGACGTGAAGTTTTTTCTGTCGAATAGAACATCAGAAATAACGTCTCAATATTGTAGATGTACGCAAAGTCGATTTTTCATGTTACGATTTTTTTTTAATATTTCCATCCTATTTTCACCTCTTCAGACGGCCTGGAAAACTATGATATGAAGTTTTTTCTGTCGAATAGATCATCGGAAATGTCTCAATATTATAGGTGTACAAAGTCGATTTTTCATGTTACGAATTTTTTGAATATTTTAGGGTTGGAATAAGAGAGCAAAATATCAATATGTAATCAGAATAGTTCGATTCAATGGGATATGTATGTTGATTTTCCACCCTATTTTCAACCCTTCAGGCAGTTTAATGAACTAGGAAGGTTCTTTTCTTTCACTGAATCAGTCAATAAGTGCATCATATTGAAAAATGGTAGGTGTACAAAGTCGGTAAATTATAATTCTATATTTTTTCTCAGTGTACTTTGTGGATGTGAATAACTTCACACCCGTCAAAATCTCGTATAATTATACACTATTGGCAATTTGAAAAATATTTTTTTTAATTTATTGTTTGGATGATTTCCTGTTTATTTTATTAACTGTCAAATGAATAGTGTGA